TAAGGTACTAAAACATGACATTATGCTAGAATTGCATTCTTTTAGGGACGGAGGTAGTATTACAAACACGGCAATAGTGCTACTCCCTCTGTTTTAGACATAGCATATATCTAGATGCATGCATAGATACATAGTTTTACTATGAAGCTGGCCATCCTAATTGACACATAGCAATACTTTAAGCAGGAAAATAACTAACAGAACTGAGAGAGTACATTATATTTTGAGTTCTGAAGGAGAAATGTGGTTCCAAAAAGGTTAACAATATATGAGGAAAACAGAATGAATTTGACAAACCTATAGCTTTCTATAGCTGTAGCTCCTATGTTCCTTCATCAGAGATGGCAAAAATGTTGCACCGAAAGTTTAGAAATTACTCAAATGAAACAGCAAAACAGCCCACATGAAGATTATTCAAACTTGCGAACCTTGACAGTGATGTGAGATGGGCATATTGAATCCTTTCTAAATCAAAATCCTACCGTCAAATTACTACTCTAAGTTAGAAGACAAAATCAACTACAGAAATAAATTATTTTTGGAAGGTTCAGAGTGCACCAAATCAAGTGCCAGTCTGTTGGAAAACATTGTTTTGTATCGTCAGCCAGAGTCTGAGCCACTTACCACTCATGTCGAGCAAGTTGAATGAAACAGGGATCTTCCCAATGCACCTCACCATTGCCATAGCAGCCCAAACTTTCTGGTGGTCTTCACGTGACACACGGACAATGCAGAGCTTTGTTACAGGATTAACATACTTAACTGAAAATTTGCAGCGCTTATAAGTACTTTTATATTAAGAAGCCAGTAATAAACACAGTGCAGCAAACACTAATATAAGATTTAAAAGGTTTCAGAAGTAATTGCTAGTAGTACCTTGCAATGATCCAAGAGATCCAGCTAGGCCACACTCCCCAAAGTTGAGCTGAATGCTGTCTCTTATAACTTTTGTTATATTAAATTGGGTGAGGATTACAAGGTCCTGTTCACCTCTAGCTGCATCTATAAAGACCTCCACCACCATGTACCTATTCTTGAAATGAACCATGGCAACTATACACTTCCTTTACTGCAGAGCTCCTGCATCCAGATGAAAGACCAGTCAATACTTTTAAGAAATGTAAGTAACCGAAGCAACATCTTATTGTCCAAATCCCATTTTCCAAGATAGAAAAGAATTTGGGGGTGGGGCGGGACTGGGGAAGGCAGTAATGTAAAAAGTCAATCATCTAGAAGGTATGCATGAGAAAATGACACTACACATCAAGGGTAGGGGCAAAATGGGAATGGCTGACAGAGGCCAAGCTGTTGCCAAATCAAGAAACAATGACTGGTAGTTGTCATCAGTCATCACACTCAGTTCGATATTAATGTGGGATATTGAACAACATGGGTAGTGCACATCCATTGAATATGTGCAAAATAATTCAGCTAAAGAAACTATGTCAAAGAAAGTAACGGCTAAATGAGTTGCAAACTATTCACTTGTATTACTGAGACAGTCAAGTAGTGAACAGTTCCTAGTGAAACTGACCAAACCTGCTCAAGCATTTGCTTTGTACCTATCCGACAAACCAAAGGTGTTCAAAATTTGTTTATTGGATATCCCTTTAAGGCATTCGTATGCAGAGATAAGATGCTCTGGTCCGGTACAAAGTTTATCCCAACGAAAAATAATCCAGTCTCCAAACTTATTAATAGATGAACACTAAAAAAAAGGAAAACCATGGAGAAAGACAAATGTGTAAGCTGCTCACAGTGGATCCTTAAATCGTATGAGCATATATCCATCTGATGTAAACAAATAAATAAACCAAACCTATTAAGAGGACCAAATGGCAAACTACTAATCTCTGAACAACATTGGTAGCTAGCACTAGCAAAGCAGTAATCAGATATCACGAGAAGGGCAGGTGATGCAGCAGTGCAGCACAGTGACTTAGACCTTGGCGGTGTCGAGCCAGGCGGTGCATGGAAATAGGTGGCAGCTGACTACTTATATGTTTGCATTGCAGTGAACATATTCAGCTTGTTTATTCAGATTTTAGAATCTAGGCACAGAATTCCTGAACTCTCTGCAGTGATTCAAGTACAGAAAAAATAAACAAACCAAATAAGAAATGAAGCAGAGACACCAACTGAAGGATTGCAAAATTATTTCTGAAGGAGTCCAGATCTATATAAGCTTATGTTGTTCTGTTTGTTTTGTGCTAGGAGTGCAAAATTATTTCTGAAGGGGTCAAGATCTATATAGGCTTATGCTGTTCTGTATGTTTTATGCTAGGAGTGCAAAATTATTCCAAACACTCCTAATCTCAATCTTAATATAAGGTTACAAACTCAGGGATACACTAATGACCTTCTCGGTGAACTTGCCAACCATGAAGAAATAATAAAATACTGCTGGATGCATTAATGACCTTGTCAGTGAAACGTAAGTAACAGGAGTGCTGATCCATCCTACAGGCTGATTGATGAAACATTAGGAAATGCGTGGAGCTCACACAGATGGGGAAATAACTACAGTTCAAAAACTACAAGTAATACTTTACGTCTTTACTTATACAGCACCATGTGCACACAACCTTGGTAAATTTTTGAACAGTAACGAAGATGTCTCCAGGATATCCCAGTTCCATTTATGGACTTGGCTACGGTATCTAAAGTATGACATACGAAAATGAAGATATCTGATGGGCCTCAGAAGCTAAATATGATTTCATCTCTAAGGGTCGTCTACCTAGGATATCTGTTTTATTTAGAGTGCAAAGCAATCGCTTCCTTTCTTTAATCTAACACAACAAGAATCAAGAAGCTCGATCTCAAAGTCCTAAATTTGTCATAGCGAACTTGATTCACAAAATGGGATGGGGATTGGACGGAGAGTACCTATAGTAGGCGACGGTGCTGGAGTGTCGGACCCGCCAACCCAGATTAGGGTTTGGCGTCGGAGGAGGTGTTGAGGCAGCCGGTGGATTCGTCGACGGAGCTGCAGCCGAGGTTGCAAAGAAGGAAGCGATGAGCAGGTCCGTCGGCGGAGCCTGTCGCCAGTTGTCGCCGGAGGCGGCGAGGCGTTCCGCTGCAGCGTCGCGGATGTTGGTGATGTGAGCGAGGCGCGAGCACTGCGGGCGACTGCCGGTTTTGGTGGACAGAAGCGGGCCTCTGCTAGTGTCCAGTGGGCCTTGAGCCCACCAACGCTGTTTTTGATTGGAGGCTGCCACTTCAGCCCACCAACACTGTTTTTGCGGAGCGGGCCGAGTGGGCGCGCAGGCAGGCCCGCGCCACTTTCATCCCTAGACGGACTCGCCGCCGCCCCGTCGGCTGTCGTATTCGTCTCCCCTTCCCCAATCCCAGCCAGAGCGAGCCAACATCCCAGACGGAATCGATCCGACGCTAACCTAGGGTTCCGTCCGTCCGGATCCGTGCTCGTCGATGGGGAGGGAAGGCGTGGTGGCGGGGCCGGCGGCGGAGGGGAGTAAATCGCGGCCGGAGTGCATCAACTCGTCCAACCCGTACCACGAGTGCTCCGACTACTGCCTCCGCAAGATCGCCGAGGCCAGGCAGCGCCTCGACGACGAGCTCTCCGACTCGTGGAAGCGCCCGCCCGAGCAACGCACCGTCCACCCGGACTGCATCAACTCCTCCAACCCTTACCACGAGTGCTCCGACTACTGCTTCAGGCGCATCGCCGACGCCAAATCCGGTGCGTGCGGGTGATTCCTTTCCCGTTAATTCGATTCGTCGTGAACCCCTTCTATCTATTTATTGCTTAAAAAAAATCTGAGTGTTGATGTCTGCTTACCGTGTGTTTGGTTGACTTCTCGTTAGGACTCGAGCGTGGGGAGGGACAGCCACCAGCTGATGTGGCCACCGCTGCCCGCACGTCCGATGCCGTGGACCAGCAGAGAGCTGAAGATAACGATGCCGACGAACAGGAGGGCGCAGGCGCGGATGATGGTTACCCGCAAATGACGGAAAAGCAGAAGAAGCTGTTCGAGCTGCGGCTTAAGATGGTATGGCGAATTGCTGATTTCACGTCTCATATACCAACTGTCGGGGCTGTTGCCACACTGTTTGGTATATTGATTCATGGGAAAATTGGTTGTGTAGCATCGAAGATCGCGATCTCCATATAATACCACTAAAAGTTTGCGCCCCGTAAAATACCACCGAAAAGTTGCACCGTGAACTAGAAGTAGCATTCCATCAGCTTTTATGTATAGAAACGTTAACCTGACCTTAAACCCAAACATGAAATTACCTATTTGCCCTTACCTTATCCTATCTCACTCATCCGAGACCGAGACAGAAAGCACGCACGCGGTATGCTCGGGTCTGCCGCTTCGCTTCGCCCCTAACGCCGGCCGCCGCAGGTGTCAGCGTCTGACCTCCGCTAGCCACCGTGGGGCATCTCGCTGCTGCCTCCGCCGCCACCGTGGGCTCGTTGGCGCGGCGTGCATAGAGGTAGCGCGGCGAAGCGCGACGTCGGCGGTGGCCACGGCACCGGCGTCGCGTGCACCACCGCCACGCTGGCGCGAGAGCCAGCTCAAGGTCGCGACCAAGAGGCGCTTCGACCGCCGGCGCCACGCAGCTCGGCCAGCGTGTCGCTGATCTCCTCCGGGAGCGCCGCGGCGTCCTCGGTGCCGTTCTCCCTGGCCAGGCGCGCGTCCTCCTTCTCCTGTGGCAGCCTCAGGTGGACCAGCTCGGCTGCTGCTTCTACCCCGGCGCGGACGACGCGTGGGCGAGCTCCAGCCCTACCGTGCCCGGTCACCGCAAACGTCGCATACGCGATCACCGGTCGGGGGTATTTGTGTCCCAGATAACAGCTCCGTCACTTCATTTTAACAGGGTGCCACTTTCAGTTCATGGTCCAACCTTTCAGTGGTATTTTACGGGGGTGTAAATTTTCGGTGGTATTTTACGGAGATCGCGATCTTTCCATGCTACACAACCAATTTTCCCTTGATTCATTCGTTTTGTTGATGTCTGATGTTCCACAGAATGAAGCGCGGAAAGCGAATCAGCAGGCAATGATTGCCGAGAAGAAAAGGATGGAGCCTCGTGGTGAGAGCCGAGGTGTTTCTAAGCAGAAGTGGCTAGACGACAGGAAGAAGAAGATTGGGAAGCTGCTGGACTCCAATGGGCTTGATATGTCGAAGGCGTACATGCTCGATACGCAGGAGACAGCAGAAGCCAAGTACAAGAAATGGGAGAAGGAACCGGCTCCTTATGGGTGGGATGGTGAGTGAGTTCAATCCTCTACCGTCCACAGATGTCTGATTTGTAGAGAACATTGTTTTGTTGAGATAGCAGAAAAATGCATACATTGGTGATGTTTACTGGATGGCTTCTCTGTTGTGTGTTGCTTAGTCTTTGATGAGTTTCTTCTCCATTCATTTAGGATTCAGGATGCAATGTTATTCATGGTTGGTTACTTGGTTTATGACAACATTAGACTAAGTGTTATAGTACTTTCTCTGTTATTCATGTTATAAGAACATATCCAAACTTCCAATTCCAAAGAGAAAGAAGTAAATCCTGTGGAACATAACTTTATTATTATAGGGTTAGTATAGTAGTATAGTACTTTCTTGGCAAAGCTTATTGAATAACTATCTCAGTCCATCCTGCATATGTGTAGTATAAACCAGAAAAGTAAGCTAGGTTGCGAATGTATGGGGGAGATATCTCTGTGTTATATACAATAGGTAGAAATGCTTGTTATTATGTTGCTGCTATGTATAGATTGCAAACATGTCTTGCTACATAATAATATAGGTTTTTAATACTAGCAGCAAACAAACAAACAACAACAACAAACAAACAACAACAAAGCCTTTTAGTCCCAAGCAAGTTGGGGTAGGCTAGAGTTGAAGCCCAACATGAGCCCCTAGTCACGGTTCAGGCCTTTTCGATACTAGCAGCAACGTTGTTAAATTATTTTTTGAAACAAACGTTGTTAAATTATACACTTGTTTCCATAGGAATCTCTTCTATGTCTTTTCAAACCAGATGTTATGAGTAAGCACTGTTCCATTTTTTCCATGTGCATAGCATGCCATACATCTTGAAGTCTAGATGCACCTTTATTTGTTTGGGTCTTTGAGTTGCATCTGAGAAATTGTGCTTATGCTTTCAGTTTTCAATCAAAAGACCTTGTATGATGCATACAAGAAGAGGACCAAGAATATAGAAGTTGACATGGAGGTTTACAATAAAGCCAAGGAAGCTGATCCTGAATTCTACCGTGATGCCTCAAGTCTCCAGTATGGGAAGGTACTGCTGCCATCATGCCATCACATCACATCAACAAATCCTTGAATGTCCTTCTGGAAACAAGTCCTCAACTGGCTGCTTTGTGTTTTGCCTTGCACAGGTGTCCAATGTCCCAGAAGAAAACATTGACAAAATGGTCAAGGAACTCAAGGAGCGGGAAGAGAAGCGGAAATCGTTCAGCAGGAGGCGCAAGTTCAACGAAGACAAGGACATTGACTCGATCAACGACCGTAATGAGCACTTCAACAAGAAGATTGAGCGTGCCTTTGGCAAGTACACGCTCGAGATCAAGAACAACCTCGAAAGAGGTACTGCCTTGCCGGACTAAAACCTTACACAGCAGCAATCTTCTGGCGTTCAAGCTAACCGCTCAACTAGAAGCGAGTGCCCCTGCTGTTGTTTCCTTTTTCTCGTGGTTACTTGTATGCTTGTAACTTGAGGCCACAGTTCCATTGTGACTTGTAAGAAACCTGAACTGGGTTGTAATGACGCGAGGCTGAAGCAATGTACAAACAGTTGTGTATGCATGTGAGCTGAATGGAATGATTGATTTGTAATGGTGTATATACCGCGTCCTGGTTTGTGTAATTTAAAATCAATTCTGGGACATTGAGAGCGACCTCTGTGTGTGTCTCTACATAGTATATAACTACTGAGGCAGACACCCTGAAACAAACCTGAGAAGAGAGGAGACACAAACCGAGGTAGTCCCTCTCCCATTCTCTTCGTTCTCCCTCGTTTGTCTGAGGTCCTGCAAAGCTCCATCACTTACTTTGCATTTCCTTCCTGCGTTACGCCAGCTCTCCCACCGGCAGCTCGGCAGAAGCGAACCTTGACGACGACCTGCTGCTCTCCCACCGGCTCGGCAGAAGCCAACCTTGACGACGACCTGCTGGTGCTTGACGCAGAGTTTGTGCTTGTTGATTTCTTCCTCGTCAGGTATGCTGGTGCTGCTTCATCAATTCTTTAATCTTTAATACAAGTATAAAAACATGGATTGTTTCTTCAAACAAAAGGTTGCTTATATCTCTGTTTAGCCTCACCGAGTGAAGACCAATTCAAAGTAGCAACCAGGTCAACAATAACCTTTGTAGCCTGTCCTCCACTTCAAACCGCCCATTTTTAAAATTCTTGTCATCTTGCCATCAGCACAAAACAAATCCTTAATGGGTTTATTCCATTTTGTTGGTTGTTGCACATGTCACTTTCTTCTACCGTCACCATGTTCAGCACCCCCGCATTACTCTATTTATATGCCCTCATACTCTCTCAGTTTGCTCCTACGTTAATCATACACAAGCTACTTATACAATATATGGTACGTCCCTTTCTACTACCAACTACTATACTGCTCCCAGTTTCTGCCCTGTTGTTTCCCAATCTTCCTTCTTGTTCCATCAAAACACATGCTCTCTTTTCTGTTCATCCTGCACTTACTGCTCTAGTTTTTTTCTTGTACAAACACCCTGATTGTTTGCTGCCTCCCTACCAGCTTTCCAGTTCTTGTGGTCTCCCAATCAGCATCTGATACCGGTATTCAGTTCCTTGCATAAACTTGCCAGGCAATGTCCAAGACTGAGAGCAGAAAGCTGTCCGATGACTATGAAGTTGCGGATGTCCTTGGCCGAGGCGGGTTCTCGATAGTGAGGAGGGGAGTGAGCAAATCGGAGGGGAAGACCCAGGTCGCCATAAAGACCTTGCGAAGGCTTGGCCCGGCCATGAACGGGATCCAGCAAGGGTCAAAGGGTGGCCTTCCGATGTGGAAGCAGGTATCCATCTCTGACGCCTTGCTCACCAACGAGATTCTCGTCATGAGGAGGATAGTTGAGAACGTCGCGCCGCATCCGAACGTCATAGGCCTGCATGATGTGTACGAGGATGCGCATGGCGTGCACCTGATCCTGGAGCTGTGCTCTGGTGGTGAACTGTTTGATAGGATAGTGGGGCGTGACCGGTACTCGGAGTTCGATGCAGCAGCTGTTATTCGTCAGATTGCTAAGGGGTTGGAGGCTCTTCATAAGGCAAACATCATACACAGGGACTTGAAGCCAGAGAACTGCCTCTTCTCTGACAAGAATGAAGATTCCACGTTGAAAATCATGGATTTTGGTCTAAGTTCTGTCGAAGATTTCAGCGACCCAATTGTGACTCTGTTCGGGTCGATAGATTATGTTTCGCCAGAAGCTCTCTCAAGGCAAGATGTTTCAGCTGCAAGTGATATGTGGTCCGTTGGGGTAATTCTATATATTCTGTTATCTGGGTATGTTTGATCAACCTTCCTTGTGATTCTCCCCTGGTTTGATTTCCTGTTTATATCCTGATGAATTTCACTTGGTGTGATTACAGATGCCCGCCATTTCATGCACCAACTAATCGAGAAAAGCAGCAAAGGATACTGCAAGTAAGTCTTACTGTGGCTAGTCTCTGGACATCATGTTGCTCCATTTGAGTTCATAGCTGTTCAGAATTATCCTGCCTTTTCATGTTTCATGTGTTCACAGTTTGAGCATTCCTACGACCTGATCTGACATAAGTAACACGTTGGCTCACTTGTAGTGTAAATGGGAGCCAAATTAAATTCTATGAAAATACCTTTTTATTTGTTAACAAAACTATAATCATTTGATAGCACATACCATATGTCATAGTCATGAATGTAGTGCAGTTTAGATTTCCATTCACTTATGGTATTAATGATATATGCTCTTCCAACCTAAATTACATTTAAAAGAAGAGAACCTAGGTGGGCCTAGGTAAGATTTTGGAGCAATCGTTTCATAGCATGGAAGCAGGCCTCTCAATCAATACTGAAGAACTGCCTTCATCTGGTAGCTGTTGGTGTTATGTACTTTGGATCGTCTAGGTGTGGATCCAGTGGGTTAGTTCTTTCCTGTTGAATCATGAGTTTGCTTCGGAGTAGGAGACAAAGAGAGAGAGAGAGAGAGATGTAGGAGCATCTGACCGTCGGAGGAGCTCCCTGCCTTCACTGGTTCGTCGATGAAGATCTGCGCTAGGCAGCGACGTTTGGTGTAGGTGTGAAGACCGGCGGTGGTGGTGGAGGCAGTGGTGCTTCCCGCCACTGGCAGTGCCACCCTCTGGATCGGATTAGGGTTAGGACAGTGGGCTGTGGTGGCGGTGAACCTCGTACCGTGTGCCGTTTGCCCCACCTCCTCTTTATAGGCACTGTGCGACGGGGGCCCACTAGCCACGAGATGGCTGGACGTCCCCGATCAGGACGCGGTCAAGGGGTCCGTCTCGACCGTTGGGTCAAGACGGATGAGATCAATTCTAACAGTTGGCAGTCATATTTGATCTGTCCTATCTGTCATTCTGTTTTAAAGGCCAATTTCCCTAGAGGTGTCAAAGTACTAGCACCTAAACAGACCTTCCTGTTGGCTTGGGTGTACAAATTGTTCTTGATACCTTGCTATGTCCAATCAAATCGCTCAGGGAAATACAAAAAGGTAAGTTAATATGGACATAAGATCAGAATAAGGCAACCCAACCTCTCAAAAAGGAATTGAACCATTCTCTTGAAGAAGTGAGGTTTCAAAAATCTAGAATTGTCTTTGGATTACATGATGGTGTACTCTTAACTGCTTACATGTTTCAACAAAGATGGCATCACTTGTCTTAAGTTGCTATCCCTAAATCTGGAGGTTTTGCTCTAATGATGTGTGCTCTTCATTCTCCTTTCAGGGAGAATTCAGTTTCCAGGACCATACATGGAAAACAATATCTTCATCAGCCAAAGAATTGATTTCCAGGCTTCTTTCTGTTGAGCCTTACAAGAGGCCAACAGCAAGTGATGTCTGTCCCATGCTTTTTTTTTTCTTCTCTTCCATCCATATTGCCATATTGGCCAATCCGAATTACATATAACTGTGCTTATTGAAGTCGTGGACCTTGTTGTCTTGCATCATTTGGACCAGCTTCTGGGGCACCCTTGGGTGATTGGAGACTGGGCAAAGCAAGACCTCATGGACGCAGAGGTCATATCAAAGCTGCAGAGGTTCAATGCTAGAAGGAAACTGCGGGCAGCGGCAATCGCAAGTGTCCTCAGCAGCAAGGTGGCGTTGAGGACAAAAAGGCTGAGGAACCTTTTGGGAACACATGACCTGAGCTCAGAGGAGCTAGACAATCTGCGGGCTCATTTCGCACGAATGTGAGTATATAAGGAATTTGTTTAGTACTCGAGTTTTGATTCTAGCACTCATTTAGCAATAACATGAGGTTGAACTGAAGATTATAAACTGTTCAAAATGTGTCTAGATCCATATTCTCCGGAATTGATTTTAAGCATAGAATTACCTGTACTTCGTGAGAGAAGTGCATAGTAATTGGTAATCATGATGTTTATGTTTGGCGTGTCCTTGACCTATCTACATGGAGTTATGATCATTCAGAAGCTGTAGCATTATAAACATGATAGTGTGCATTCTCGAGTTTTGCACGAATGTCAGTATATGAGGAATTTGACCCCTTACTTTGTACTTGGTTTGGTACTCGAGTTTTGATTCTAGCATTCTTATTTAGCAGTAAGATGGGTTGGCGTGAAGACTGTAAGCTGTTCAAAACGTGCCTTATATCCATGTTCATGATCACTGAGATCTCAGAAGCTGTAGCATGAAAACATGATAGTGTGCATTATTGCTTCCTTCATTCGCTGGAGAAATTTCATTATACAGCAACAAGCAATTGTTGCTGGCAAAAATGAAATCTTCACATAGTTAGTTCTGAAACCTTTTCACTGAAAAGAAAAAGAACACCTGGTATGCTGTGCCGAGTGTAGATGTGCGGATGGCGAGAACGCGACGCTGGTGGAGTTCGAGCAGGTGCTGAAGGCGATGAAGCTGGAGTCGCTGGTCCCTCTGGCGCCGCGCGTGTTCGACCTGTTCGACAACAACCGCGACGGCACGGTGGACATGAGGGAGATCCTGTGCGGGCTCTCCAGCCTCCGGAACTCCCGCGGCGACGACGCGCTCCGGCTCTGCTTCCAGGTGATGACAATTGGAGGACGCTTTTTTTCTGCATACCAAGCAATAATCACTGTCACTCTGATTCATCATAGCGGCCATCGAATGGCTGTCCGGTGACGACTGAGATACTGAATGACTGAAAAAAAATGACGTGTCAGATGTACGACGCCGACCGGTCCGGGTGCATCAGCAAGGACGAGCTGGCGTCGATGCTGCGAGTAAGAAGCCCGTCCTTCCTCTACGATATGTTCTGATGATCGAGTTTGCATTGTGCCGGAGATAGGTGTATGGCATGCAGGTGCAGGAGTTGTGTTGTGACCGCGTGCTTGGTGTTGGCGTTGCAGGCGCTGCCCGAGGAGTGTCTGCCGGGCGACATCACGGAGCCCGGGAAGCTGGACGAGGTGTTCGACGAGATGGACGCCAACGGCGACGGCAAGGTGAGCTTCGACGAGTTCAAGGCGGCGATGCAGAGGGACAGCGCCCTCCAGGACGTCGTCCTCTCGTCCCTCCGGCCTCCGGCGCCGGGGCAGTAGATGTAGACGGAGCGAGAGAGATTCAGCCCAGTCCAGCAGCTCGTTCCCTTCCCTTCCCACGAGAACACCAACAACACAACAGCATTGATCAGTACGGCACTGTACGGAGTATTAGCGTCATCAATCAATCATGTCTGAACTTTTCCTTTTCCTTTTGTTGCTTGTCCCGTTGTCCGGTGGAAACGCGTGGAGCGCCTCGATGGATCCATCCTACTAGATGGCTGTGCTGTTGTGTGTTTCTGGAGCCCGGGACGCATCGGTTCGCCCGATGATGTGTTCATGGCAGCAGGCAGCAGCTGTGGTGACTGGCCGTGGCCGGTGGTGAGTCTGCCTACGGACAGCGTCGTTCTTTGCCGGACACACCCTGCGTTTGGAAGCGTGCACGTTTCGTGGGCCTCGCGAGAGTAGGGAAGACAGAGCAGGCCCATGGAATTCTTTCTCTCTCTTGGCGCACCTGG